GGGAGCTAAGAAGCGCACCCAGTGGGCCAGATGATCGGGATCGGGTTACGGGCTAGAGAGCCCTAGCCCTGGCGCGGGGGCCGGGCGGGGGGTGCGCGTTCGCAGGCGAAAAGGTGGCCGTAAAGTAAACACGGTCTCCGAGGGTTGGACCCGCGTACGGGGTGTGGAGGGTGAGTTGACCAGGGGGTTGTGCGCCGGGCCCTCCTGCTCGGCTCCAGCCGGTAGACAAGTCTTGTCAGCAACAGAGTAGAAGGATCTGACCTCGGGGCCGATGTGACCACAAGCGCTGGTAGGGTGGTTTAACCTCACACCCATGGTCTCACAGTGTGCCGGCAGTCGCCGAGCAGTGTCGCTCACACAAGCCGCAGCACAAGTGACTGAGGGCCAGTGAGGGCGAGCCCATCACTGTCACAGCTGTGGCAGCCGCACAGCAGGCTGTGTCAACTGTGCAGAGTGTGTGAGCAGCAGAGGAGCTGCTCTCCAGGCTTCAGGCGCAAAGAGCTGCATGCCACCGAAGGCGCTGTCGAGGTTCGCCGAGCGCGGCGAAATCCGGGGACACCGTCACCGACGAGCGCGTTGGAGTATTCACTCCGGACAAAGACAGTGGCACGCGCCGCTGCGCGGTGCGTGCCACTGCCACTGTCTTAGCGGCGAGGCGCGGGACCGTCTGTGGCGAAGTGGGTCGCGTCCCCGGATTTCCGTCAACCCAGCATCCACACCCTTTACCAGGTTTCCCCTTAACTGCAGGACGCCCCCTCTACTCGGAGCTAGTGGACATTACACTGTACACCACGCCCAAACACAGACACTTGCTTAGTCCCCGGTCCCGGGGCTCCACCTTCCGTCCTCCCGGGGCTCCGGTTCTCCCCGATCCGCTCTCTTGCTCGCTCGCCGAGCGTCATACGACGGCCGCTGTGGTCGTTTCCCTCGTTGTTGGTGTCGCTTTCTCCGTTGCCGCCCTCCGTCTTCGCCAGCTTCTCTTAGGGGGTCGGCCCCCCTAGTCTGAAAACAAAAACAAGCTCGAAAACAGCCAAAATCAGCCTGCGAGAGAGGCACTGCGCGCCGCTGACCTCGTGTGGGGATGTGTGCCGACACCAATACTGATCTAAAACCTGGAAACCCTTGTTCAAAGCCGGCCCTAAGCGCCATCCTTCCTGCTCTCACCTGATTGATATGCTGCTTCCCCGCGCCGCCTCCTTGGCCCCCTTGGGCGTATTTTTCTACTCCCAGTGGGGGGCCTGCCCCCCCCCCCCCCCCCCTTGTTTTCTGTTTTCTGTTTTTCAAAACGCCCGCCCGCCCGCCACCCCGAGGCGGCTCGGCCCCCCACAGACCGAGAGAGATCAAAAATCGCTCGGCCCAGGAGCATGCTGGCCACCTCGCACCTGCCGCCCGAACCGCAGCGCCGCATCCGGGTAGAGGGCAGAGCCAAAATGAGGCCGCTACGGAACTCGAGAGAGGCCGCACATCAGTTTCATCACGTGTACTCTACACACTTCGGGCCACTTCAGAAGCACACCGACACAAAACGAATGCGCGCCGCGCTCCGGCGCCATGTCAATGCGTCGCCCTCCAACCTCTCACATGTAAACCAGACACTAGGCGGGCGCCGCCCTCTGGCCCGCCGCCGTGCGCGCCGCCCCCATCTTCAGCTCCGCCACCTGGTCGAGCGCGTCGCCGAGCAGCCCCTTGGCCACGCCCAAGTCGCGCAACTGCTCCACGCCGCCGCTCGCCCGCACCTCGGCGGCGTGGTCGGCCACGTAGCGGCGGCACTGCGCGAGGAGCCGCCCGTCGCCCATCGTGTGCGCCGCCTCGAGCAGCGGCACGGCGCTCGCCGGCCCGACGCTCTCCTGCAGCGCCTGCGCGCAGAGCAGCTCGAGGCGCGGCACCTGGTACATCTGCGCCAGCTCCCGCAGCACGAGCGCGCGCCGCGCCTGCTCGCCCTCCCCCTCGCCGAGGTCGAGCTGGTCGGTGCAGAGGTAGTCGATGAAGGCGGTGAAGCTGGCGAGGTCCGTCTTGGGCACCGTGATCTCGGCGGCGTCGCGCTCCTTCATGCCGATGCCAAACATCTTCCCATAGTACTCGGACCGCACGCAGAGCAGGCTCTTGCTCACGTGCTCGATGCGCTCCTCCTCATTTCCGACCAGGAAAGTGACCGGGCCGTGCGGCAAAGAGGCGTCGCCCCGCATCTTCTTCAGGTCTGCCACGAGGGTAGAGGGCGGCACCACAATCGGCGCAAAGGAGGGAGGCAGAGGAGGCGCAGCCACGCAGACCTGGCGGAGAGTCTTTCCCGCGCGGACCAGAAGAGTGCTGCCATCGGGGCTGATGGCGACGCCGGCTGGGCGATTGAGCTGCGCCGCATCGCCCACGCCATCAGCGCTGCCGGCAGTGCCACTGCCCGCGACAGTCGTCACTGCGCCAGTCGCCACCTCCACCCGCCGGATCTTGTGGCTGTGGAAGTCCGCCACAAACAGCGCGCTGCCGTCGGGGCTGATGGCGACGCCGGCTGGCTTGTGGAACTCCGCCGCGCCGCCCACGCCATCAGCGCTGCCCCTGGTGCCGCTGCCCGCCACCGTGCTCACTGCGCCAGTCGCCACCTCCACGCGCCGGATCTTGTGGTTGGCTTCGTCTGCCACAAACAGCGCGCTGCCGTCGGGGCTGATGGCGACGCCGCGTGGGCGGTAGAACTCCGCAGCCGTTCCAACACCATCGGCGCTGCCCCCCCTGGTGCCGCTGCCCGCGACAGTCGTCACCGCGCCCGTCGCCACCTCCACCCGCCGGATCTTGTGGTTGCTTAAGTCCGCCACAAACAGCGCGCTGCCGTCCGGGCTGATGGTGACGCCGTATGGGCCGTTGAACTGCGCCGCGTCGCCCATGCCGTCCGCGTCGCCTTCTTCTCCGCTGCCCGCGACAGTGCTCACTGCACCCGTCGCCACCTCCGCCCGCAGGATCTTGTGGTTGCCGTAGTCCGCCACAAACAACGCGCTACCGTTGGGGCTGAGGGCGATACCGCGGCAATCCTCGCAGGTCGCGACGGTGCGGATGCGGCCGGCCGCCGACACGTGCAGCAGCGAGTGCGAGTGCTCAGTCGTGAAAAACCAGCTGTCCGCGCGATCGCTTGCGACGGCACGCAGAGGGCCGTCCTCGCCCTCGAGCGCCAGCGTGGTGACCTGGCCGACGGTGCGCGCGCCAAAGATGGGCGCCTCGAAGCCATCCGCGACCGGCACAGCCTCGCCCTCCTCCTCGCCGTCGCCGACGGTGCGGGCGCGCTTGCGGGAGGGGACACACATGCGCGTGCAGGAGTGCAGGCCAAGCTCAGCGGGTTCGGTCTCGGATTCGGTCCTTTGGGGGTGCGGTCCTAATGAATTGCTGGTGTCCCCGTGGCTGTTCTTCACCTTCCAACCTAACCTAACCTAACAGCTGCCCGACCCCGCCCCCGCTCACTTTACAGTACGTATCCGTTGCGCCACCGAGGCGCTCGAGTCCAACGCGTCGCCCAGAGGGACGATCGCCCTGAGCTCCGCCAGGACCGCCCTCTCGCCCGCCGCCGCGGCCACTCGATCCATCTCGGCCTCTCGGATCGCCTCCTCCCGTTGTGTTGCTCTGTCTGCTGCCGGCACGAACCTCTCCGGGCTGCCCCGTGCTCTTTTTGGCAAGATCCGCGCCGGGGCCGGCCGGTCCACAGGTGCAGCCCCGGCGCGGGGGAGCACTTGGAGCACTTGGAGTGCAGTCATTAACCGCACATCCAGGGCCAGGGAGCTAAGAAGCGCACCCAGCGGGACCGGCCTCTTTTCTTTCTGCGTCGAGCCTGTCTGCGTGTCTGATTTTTTAAATTCTTTCGCCCGTGCGGGACTCTCAAACGATGAGGGTGTACGACGAGAACGCCGCACCGACCAACGTCGTCGCTGCCGAGGCCCCGGCCCCGGCGCGCAAGATCCGCCGCCGGCGCAAGAGCGGCGTCGGCAGCCTCAAGTTTGCCGGCGACGCCGACCCGGCTGACCGCGAGGCGTCGCTCACTGAGGAGCTTGAGGCGGCGCACGACGAGATCCGGCAGCTGCAGTTCAACTTGGCCAACGCGGAGGAGGACAACCTCACGCTGCTCCGCCTCAACTCCGAGCTCGAGGCGCAGCTCGCCGACGCTGGTAAGCTGGCCGCCGAGCAGCTCGAGCGAATCCTAGCGCTCGAGGCCGCCGAGAGGAGTGCGACTAGGGCCGAGCTCGCGCGGCAAGGGCGTGCGGCGGCGCTGCACGACTCACTGATCGACCTCGACGCCGTCGGCAGCGCCGCCGAGCAAGACACCACCGCGCAAGACGCCGCCGCGCAAGACGCCGCCGCGCCGCCACCGCCGCCAGCAGAAGCTCCGCCGCCGCCGCCGCCGGCTGCAGCCGCCGAGGCGCCCGAGGCGCCGCTCGCGACGTACGGTGGCGGCAGCTACGCGTCGGTGGTGACGCGCCTCTCCTCCACCTCGTCGGCGCGCTTCTCGAGCTCCTCGTACGTTTCCGCCGCCTCGCCGTCCCACCG